CGGCACTCCTACCACTGCTCAAGTCCGCGTCCGTGATGCAGCTGGCGAAGTATTATTTTTTCTGTGTTTTCTCCATGTGGATTTAACCTTACATCTCCAGCGACAAACCTTTTGATGGAGTAAACATCTACAACACTGTTGTGCCTTTTGATTTTCTTATCTGGCTCTTTTCATTGTTTGTTCTTTTTACAGGCCGCATAATGCAGAGTTGTGCCTGACTGACTAGGCCAGTTCCCAACAAATTCAAGCAGCTAAGCTTGCAGGCATGTGTACTATAAAGGGAACCAAGTTCTGTATATATTGTATTTGCAGAAAGCGTTTTTGGCATGTACGGTTCTAACAAATTTGAGGTAATCATGTACTTTTTGTGCTGATTCAGTAGGACTGTTTTACTTGAACTAATGCCTTAGTATCTAAATTGGCAGATCTTCTTTCTGATTCTCGAAGAAATAAAGTTACTATCCGTTAGTACAATGAGGAAAAAAGTACGCCCATTACCTAATCAGCATACTTTGTTTGTTCATATGCTATCAGGAATGCTTAATGCTTGGCCAGATAAAAACATGTTAGAAATGCTTATGCTGTAAAAACTGTTTTCTTCTATGAATATTTGTCAGTATTGCTTGTCTGAACGTCTCTTACCTGTTACACATCTCACATGAGTGGACCTATAGATGATATGGTGTTGAAGCTATGATGATGGAAGCTCTAGAGAAAGTTGAAGATGTTTCTAAGGAGTGACAAGACAGAGTATAGCTCTCCTTTGGCCAGTTTGAGAAGATAGACAAAAATCTTGTAAGTATTTGTTATATGCGAGGCTGGCTCTTCAAACATAAATGTTTGGCTCTTTGTGTGTGCATCTATATTTATTCCATAAAGTATCGTTTGAACCAGTGTAATTAAATAAACACCGAAGAGCTTTGTTTTTTGTCTTTCTGATGCCTCTTGCAAAGAACAGATGATTGATAGTGACAACATTATTACATATGATTAAGCTGTAGCACTAAGGTGTCCCTATGATTTGTATATCTGCAATCTGGTGAATGAGTCCTCACATTATTTTTGTACCCAGTCGAGATTAATCATTGTAGTAGTTACCATGGCATCATCACATTCAGCAGCGTGAGCAAAATCTTGCATTATCTTGCTCATATTTTTCTTATTGAGCTGGACAAGACCAAATAGACAGTAGTCAGTTCAGTTTCTTATTTTCCGAAACTTAATTCTATTTGGTAGATATCTATAGCTCATCACAGGTTGATATTAATACATGGAAATTTTTGAAAAGAACACAATGTCATGATCTTTGACAGAATATAATTTTGCCGACAGGGAGTTTGAGGCTATCATTGATGAGGTATCCTGGAGAGTTGCAAGCTGCTTGTCTTGTTCCGAATCATGTTCTCCGAGGCTATGTATAGACTTGCAGCACTGTCTTCCTTGTATTTTAATGAAGTTTGGCGCCAGGCTCTTTGAGATAACTTATTAGTTGCTACTGATTGTTCGGGCGGCGGCGGCGGCTGCGGTTGGCGGCGGCCGGCTCGGCTGCGGTGGCGTGCATGCTGTCTTCAGATCGGCGACGGCGGCGTGGAGGGCCTGGTGGTCTCGTAGGTGGCACCTCCGATCAGATCTGTTCTGACCAGTGCAGCCGGCGGTGGTGGTCATCTCTTCCGTCAGAGGTGGTCGGCCTGAGGCTGGGTGTTCGGATCTCGGGATCCGTCATCTGGCACCAGTTGCGAGTCGGGGAGACGTAGTTGCCGGTGAAAACCGAGCCGACGGCGGGCGATGGCGGCGTTCCACGTCGTTACCTTGATGAAGGCATCGTCATGTGACTTCCGTCGACCCACTCGTATTGCTCCGGGGGAAACCCTAGGATCTGGTGTTCCAGACCGGACGATGGCGGCACTGCGGTGTCGTTTCTCTCTTGGAAGTCAGAGGCAGGAGGTGGAGCGGCTTCGTCTTGCACGGAGCTTCGGTGGAGATGTCAAGTCATGTCTGACCGACAGGTGCTACGCTTGGTCATGCCTGGTCGGCAGGTGCTACGCACGACAGATCCTCCAAGGGCTTCAAGCTGTGTCGGCTGGTAGTACGTGGCAGCATGGCGCTGAGGTGTGTCAGTGGCGATCGTGACGTGTACAGCTGTTTGCGCGCAGGGAGGAGGTGCTGTTGGGCGCCGTGGTGGCGTCGACGATAGCTGGACCGAGCAAGGTTGATGCATCAATACAGTTCTGAAGATAGAGCGGTGGCAGTTGGCGGCGGCGGCCTCTGAGAGCACGCCGGACCAGTGTGAGTCCCAGACCCGGCAAGTGGCTAGGTTGGGGTCTCAGGTCTTAGATGTTAAGCTTGGCTGTGATGTCTGTTTGGTATTAGGCCCAGGCTATCTGCGCCCCTTCATCAACTGGATAGGTGTAGCGACAGTTTGTTGCTTAGACGGTGGCTTTAGTCTTACTGTTGTATGACTTTGTAAGGTCTTGTGAGAACAATTAATAAAGTGGCCGTATGCATCGCCTAGATGCAGAGGCCGGGGGTCATCCTCCTTTTCTAAAAAAAACTAAAAAAGAAACTAAAATGGGTGCCACCTACCTGGCACCGCAAAGCTTCCGCTCAGGAGGCGCACCAAGGGTATTATCATCAAACTGGTGTTTATGCCCTCAACTATTAGGATGAATATTTGTTATATGTCCAAAAGCCCTCACTCTTGGTATGTGGCAATGCAACATGTCTGCAACAGGATCAGAGACGAGGATCGAGAGAAATATTATACTCGGTCATCCTTTTGTATCAACTGTAAAGGTGAGATCCCACTTTCACGGAAAGCTTTCTCTTATCCTTTTGTATAAACCTATTCCCAGGTTGCCAAATCCTTATTTTAATTGTAGATATTACAGTCGTCTAACTATTTTCGGCTCATCTAATATGTTGTCTTCAGACTGTAGCATTTATGGGCGAGCAATAGCGGTGACAAGCACAATCACTGATAGGTAAAAACATAAGGTCGCCGGCCACATGGAACTCCCTGTTTCATGTTGTTTCTTATGTGATAAGTAGATAACCCGCAATGAAGGATTATGAGAATAATTTGCTTGCTATACTAAAAATCATCTTTGTAATTATCTTTTAGCGTAAAATTATGTCTGGTTGGTCTAACCAGATGGTGAAAGTGCATGCAATCTCTTTCACTACCTATATCTATATAGAAATTCTGCTCCGAGGCTCAATAATGGTGCTTCTGTGCTTAATTTGTTGCCACCTATTGCATAACGAAATTGTTAGGTGTTTCACATGTGTTCTTGAGCATAAAGTAAGATGCATTACCAACATTATTTCAAATGCAAATATATCATCTTCTACTCTGTACATGTTTGTTGGAATTCATGAGGGTGCAAGATTTAAGAAATTTACAAGACCAATTCTTTTGTACTAATGGTGCGCTTATGCTACTATGCTACTATGCAGGTATATGCTCATGTTTTAGTTGCATGGATATGGTCTTCTTAAGTAAGTTTTGCCTTTCAAGTTAGATACATACCTCCATGTTGTCAAGGCAGACAAAATGTTAATGGTCTGAGATTAAGACATGTTTTATATTGAATAATTTAATCAATTGCTGCTAAACCCTGACTGCCAACTATGTAGCATTTTCTGCTTGCACAAATTAAGAAAGACTCGGGTTATTTTCCCTAATTTATTGTTCAGTTTAAATGCACAGATCTAGGAGTCTTCCTTTTGCCCTTTTGGTATAGACTATGGGTGCTTAAGTCACTCCTAAGTTTTGTTGCTACATTTCAGTGCTTTCTACTATCTGCTTCGAGTTACAGGGTAAATCCAGATGTTTCCACTCATGCATGTGTACTGTGGAGAGGGAGATGCAGTTCATACACAAATGTAGTTTTATATGCACTTAACCTGTTTAGCTACGAGTATGGAGATTTTGTCTAAATCCACGAATACTTATATGTTGCATCTATTGATGAACAAATATGTAAAAACTTTTGTTTGCATCTCTCGATGAACAAGGGGCTTACTCTTGAATCACCTGAACTATCTGTGATCATATAGGTTATCAATCTACTATGCGTTTATATGGGCTTATTACTGCGGTTACATCTTTCCTTCTACTGTCACTTCCGTTATACTTAGGCCTACTACACACGCGTGATATAACAGCCGACTCGGCAGAAGCACCCAGCTGGACTGGATAACCACGGCGTGCGCGTGCTGGAGGCCTAGCAGAAGGAGCTGCACACGCGGTGTCTGCATCTTCGGCCTCGCTGCACCCCAGAATCGAGTCACATCGTTGTGGGTTGCGCTTTCTTAACACTATTTGTCTCAGGGTGTATTCCATGGTTCAGAATACATGTACTTTATAATTTACAATGCCTGGTTTGGATAAAAACTGTTCCTTAAGCCTGTCAGAGGTTATTTGATAGCACTATCCCCAGCTGCTAATTTATGCCTACATACCTGTATCCATTACCATTATTGAATTCTGCACAAAAACTGGTTTGTTGGCTTGTTCACTGTTGTCATAATGCTTCTGATGTTTTATGTTCAGTTAAATAAAACATACTCCCTCTGTAAACAAATACAAGACGTTTAGTGACCTAAAATGTTTTACATTTATTTACAGAGATAGTATACATTGCTTATTCATTCCCTTTAAATTTGGATTACTTATTACCCTCAACTAATGAATTGGTTCACTGAATTATGCTCTAGATTATATGTACTACATATAACGCATCTGAGGTCCTATAATGTACTCTGGCTGTTTCTTTCGTTATCAATTGTAAATTCTATTGCAAGTTCCTTACCTATATGTACATGTTTGCAAGCAATTAGAGAAGAAAGAGGGTGGAAGGGTCGCATGTCAATCTAGCACCGCACAAACTTCCTCTCAAGTGGCGCCCCAACCCCTAGTCAGTCAATCAACCAGCAGCAGAAACGCAGGCGAAGAAATTGCCCGAGGTAGATAGTGTCTCTCTCGCCTGTACGAAACCATGGCCGCGCTGCTCACCTCCTTTTCACCGGCGTTTTCCTGCCCCGCATCCTCGAGCAAGAGGCCAGTTATCACCACCTCGTCCTTCATCTTGCCGGTCGGTCGTGAGCACAACTTCCCGGCCCTGAAGACGGCTGCTGCCCGCCCGCGCCTTGCGCTCGCCCGGGCTCAGAACGGCGACGCGCGGCCGCGGGCCAGACAGCCACCGCTCGCCGGCGACCACTTCCACGACGAGATGGAGCGAATCACGCAGCACTACCTCGACATCATCTCCAGCGACAGCGACTTCCTCTACGCCGAGGCTACGGCGAAGTCGGCGCGGGTCTGCCTCTCTGCCAACAAGGCCCTCATCATGGCGTCCCGCGTGGTGGACAGCGCGCGACTCAACCTCAGCGCGCCCAGCGAGATCTCCGCCGAGACCATCCACGGGACCGTCCGCACGTATGCGGCCGTCTTCTCCGCCGCCGCTGACGACTCTTACAAGAAGACGGTCAACAGGAACACGGTGGCCTCGTTCCTCGGCGCCCTGAGAGGTCTGGCCGCCGTGAGCCACATCCTGCTCCAGGGCGCCCTCGAGTCCCTCTGCCACGGGCACCCGAGGGTCGCCGTGTCCGAGTACGCTTTCAACTCCGACGTGGAGAACATGTACCGCGAGTTCGTGCAGGGGATGCGCGATGTGGAGGATGAGATACGGAGCGCTAGCGCTGTGAAGACGTGCAGGCTGGTGGTGCCGGTGATCCTTGCCAGCACGGAGCTCACGGGGTCCTTCGTGGGACTTATGCTGGATCGGCGTAGGAGGGCGCTGGAGAAGGCGCGTAGCGAATCGGCGGTAGTATGACTTTTGTGAGTCGTTTCGCTCTAATGTACTAGTAGCTGTAGGCTGTAGCCGTTCCAAGAGAAAAAAAGTGTTGTTTTTTATTAAGCACCTTGTCGAAATAGGTTCCTAAGAATTAAAACCATTTCACTATTCAGTGTTGCCTAGCAATAGAGTGACACTTGCATAGCAATCCTATTCAAATTGCAGAAGGTAACACCTGGTTTTTCTTTTCATATTTGGTGGGGAACAAAGATCAAATTCAGATGCAATATAATTCCAACGAAAGACAGTTTTTGCCCGGGTTTCCGCTAACTAAACGGAGCCCTATGAAACACGACTTAAAAAAATCGATCATTCTTTTCAGTTTCTTTTAATAAAGGAAGCTTTTATTGAAATCAGATCATTATCAAGATGATACAATATCATGTTGAGATCACTCCCGGACTCTATATAATTAGGATGCACATGACCCACCCACACACACACACCAGAGTTTTATAACAAGTGGAATAACATGAAAATGCTATGGATCGTCAATCCTTAGACTAGGCCGCCACCCATGCTTCTGGGTAAAACACGACTACCCGCTCCAAATGTTTGACAAGCTGCTGCAAACCTGCAACCAACTCTTGAGAACCCGAATTCTGAAGAATAGTCCGGGTACCGAGTGAGCGAGTAACTGAATAAATAACCTGTAGAGGAGATAAAAAATTCTTGTCAAAAAATCACATCATTTATGCATAACCAAAGCGACCAACAAGTAGCAGTCGCCACTAACAAGACCTCTCGTTTTAGGTCCTTCCTAGTGCCCCATAGCAAACCACTAAACACATGTGACATACTTTGAGATGGGAACTACCCTGCAGCCGCTTGTATAATAGACCATACGGCCTGTGCAAAGCGACGTCCAAAAAGAAGGTGCTGAATAGTCTCATCTTTGTGACAAAAGCAACAATTTTTATCGCCTCGCCAGTTTCGTTTAGCCAAGTTATCCCTGTTAGAACAACTCTGCGTCGTAAGTACCAAAGGGATATCTTAACTTTGTGGCACCCTAATTTTCCATAGTCC